TAGCAGTGACAAACTTCAAGATACTACGCAGAGGAGTTGAATGTCCAGCAACAAAATTTTATCGGAGATGTCAAAGCAACTCTATGGGGATTCTTTGATTTAAATTTGGAGGGGAAAATAAGACGACAAATGTGTTGAAGAAGAAGGCAGAATCAACTTACAGGCATGCTGGAGATTCCATACTGAATCGAAGGTGAATTTCCACCTTGAGCAATTGAAATCTGAGGCAATGCAGGAAGCGTTCCATATGGGTTTGTAACAGGGACTGGTTGCATAACGGCAGAGTTAGCCAACGCAGGTCTGTAAAAAAAAATTAAGCTCCAAAGTAATTTCAATATACTACTAAATAAAATATCTAAAAGGACAATAAGAGAGATCATGCACTTGCCCAGAGTTGCCTTGACTGAAAGATCCACCGGTAGAGCTAGTTGGATTAGCTTTAGAACATAAAACATACATGAGTTAGCTTTTAGAATTCAAGATGATAATATTCAAGGCAATTTGATTGATTGACATACCAGTTTGGGTTTGACCAAAGTTGTTGAAACCAAACGGACCTGATGTTTGAGCTGGCTGAGCTGGCAGGTAAGGTGTCAAACCAGCAGGCTACAAAAATAAACAAATATTAGAAATCCCTACATAGCTCAAAAGGCAATGAAAGAAATGTCAACTCTGAAGAAAACAAGCATCCATGAAAACAAGCATCCATATTAGTTGAAAAGAAAGTCACCGTTGTTGTTTGACCAAAGGGAGAGTTGGTTGTTGCTTGGGCAAATCCAGGATTGGTATTCTGTCCAAGCGCAGAAGAAGTACTAGGCTGCGGAAATGAGGGGTTTGAGTTAGACAGCGGAGATGACTGACTGTTGTTAAAATTCCCACTCATGCTAAATGCTGGAGTTGACACACTTGCAGGATTTGAACCAAACATTGATGGACCAAATGGCAGCGTTGTTGTTGCTGGAAAACCAGTTTGACCAAAGGGCGATGGGGTGGTACCAGTACCAGTTTGACCAAAGGGCAATGGGGTGGTACCAGTACCAGTTTGACCAAAGGGCGATGGGGTGGTACCAGTACCAGTTTGACCAAAGGGCGATGGGGTAGTACCAGTACCAGTACCAGTTTGACCAAAGGGCGAGGAAAGATTTGTTGTAGTTGTTGGGCTTGAAAAGGGATTTGGTTGATTTGCAAAAGAGTGTGTGGCGGATGAGCTTGAAAAGAGACTTGGTTGATTTGCAAAAGAGTTTGTGGCGGATGATGAGCTTGAAAAGAGACTTGGCTGATTTGCAAAAGAGTTTGTGGCTGTTGGGCTTGAAAAGGGACTTGGCTGATTTGCACAAGGGTTTGTGGCTGTTGGGCTTAAAAAGGGATTTGGATTTGCAGGTGTCTGACCAAAAGGTAGTGACGGAGAGTACAAACTTGGTTGAGAATTCTTTACACTAAACCCAGTACCTCCAGGAGATTGACCACCTGAAATTAGAAAACAAGAGAATCAATATTTTCGTAACTAAAATACAAACATATAACCATAAAACAGATGCATAACATGGATTTGTTTTCAATAGAACCTTTATCTCCTCGCTGGTAGTCCTCCCACCTAAGCTCCTCATGGGTTTTATTTTTGTATACTTCCATAGCAGATATAGATAGTAGCTTCCCTCCGCCCTGATCTGCCTCAGTTGTAGGTGCATAAGTCATGACCCTACTACCCGCTTGTTGAGCCCCGAAAGTTGATTGACCACCAAACGTTGGGGTTACAGCCTGTGCACCTGCAAAACAAATCATGGGAACATAATTTGTTAACATTTACTGGATGGGAATTTTCACTTCCAGATCTGTAATTTAATAAGACTAGGGAAAGAACCTTGGACTCCAAAGGGAGATTGTGTAGAACCAACGGAACGGCTACCAAATGCTGAGGTAGACTGTCCAAAAGCTGGGGAGGATGCAAAACTAAAAGATGGGGTGCTTGATACCCCAGAGGCAGGAGTGCTTGATACCCCAAAAGCACCTCCAGAGCCAAAGGCATTGTTGCCAAATATAGTGCTAGAACTACCCAAGGCAGGAGAGGGTGTCACACCAAATGCAGGTGAGCTCGAGGCGCCGAATGAAGAAGTGCTTGAGGCCCCAAAGGCAGGTGTGTTTGTGGAGCCAAAGGCAGGCGTGCTAGAGGCACCAAAAGGTGTAGATCCAAAAGTACTGTTTCCAAATGTAGATTGTGATTGCTGTGTGGTGCTTCCGAAAGTATTTGATTGAGGCGTTGAGAAGCCAAAAGTAGAATTGCCTGTAAGAGGGGAAAAAAAAACTTATCAGTCAAAGGTGCACAAAGAGAAATATGAAAAGACTAATGAGAACCTGGAACCTAAATATAAAACAAACAACGTCAACAAAATCAGGAGCTAGTACCTCATGAAGAAAACCAAAAAGAAAACTGAACATTTAATAGTTTAGAAAGTCTCGGATAACTAGTTTTGGAGAAAGTAACAAATATTTTAAACTAACAGACAATCAAACGCTTGAAGAAATCAGAAACCATTAGCAAAGTGTATTTATACAAAATCCCAGTCCTACTGGGAGAAAGTAGGTTCCTATTCCATCAGGCCTATCAATGTAACCGCACATGATATGAAAACATATAGTATATTCCAGGCCTGTTAAAGCAATATATCAAACAAAAGATTGACAACAACTACACAATGATATACATTAAAGGTACTCACCACCAAAAGGTGAAGCCGAACTGCCAAACGCAGGAGCAGAAGATGCTCCAAAAGCTGGACTAGAGCTCCCAAACGTTTGTGATGAAGAACCAAAAGGGGAGGAAGCTTGAGGTGCACCAAACACACCAGTTGAAGTGCCCCCAAACATGAAACTCCCTGTTTGTGCGCCAAAAAGAGTTGAAGTACCAAAGGGTTTCGGAGCAAAGGGACTATTACTTGCGTTATTGGTCTGACCAAACACAGATGGAGTTTGGGTCCCAAATGGACTGCTGTTAGATGACTGTCCAAAAGCTGCAACAAAAATATTAAGCGGGTCAAATTAACATTGCAAAAGCTATAAATATCCAAGTTCAATTGAAGAAAGAAAGGGAAGATCCGTGCAAGGTAAACAGACTAATGCCAAAGCCAGAGTAACGAATGAATAAGGTACGATCACTAACCATTAGAAGAACCAAACATCTTCTTTTATGTTATTCACAACTCCGGGCTTAGCGAAAGGAATTGTTCTTCTAGCCTGGTCCAACAAAGGCAAGAAATATCAGGAATTACTCATAATTAGGACCCACATTGAACAAGG